TGATCTGTTCACGGGGCAACTCTTGCACATGATGGATGTCAAGGAGGACCCAGAGCTGCAGTCCTTGGCGTACCACGTCTTCCGTCATCTGCCCAACATTCCGTATCCGGCTGAAGACAATTCTGGATTCATCAAAACTCTTATCCACATTGGACAGACCTCTCCCTCGTGGCATCAACGCCTGCGAGTTATGATCAATATCCAAATTATATATTTCCGTCGCCTCTTCTTGCTCTCCAGCGGTGATCGAGACAAGCTGTTCGAGTGTGTCGCGAGCATGTTGGAAGACCCTCAGCACGAAGTGAGAGTGGGTGCATCGGCCACATTGTCTGGTATGATCCGTTGCTCGCCTGTGTCTCTCCGGCAGGAGATGGTCAACCGACTCAGAGAACGGTTCACCAAGCTATTGGTCGAGAATCCCCTTCCGAAGAAACCTAAGGGATTCCGCTCTGGCCTATCGACTCCGGTCTCCTCAGGGGCTGGTACACCGACCCCTGAACATACTCGACTCATCTTAGTCAGGCACGGTGCTGTTCTGGGTCTCGGGGCACTCATCCAAGCGTTCCCATACAACAGTCCGCCCCCGAGTTGGATGCCGGAGGCGCTGACAACACTTAGTGTTCGTGCTGCCAGTGATCCGGGCATTGTTGGTTCTAGCGTCAAGTCTATCATCAGTGAATTCAAGAAGACAAGGCAAGATACTTGGCATATTGATGCAAAGGTAAGTTTCAACTACCCTACATGAGTGACCAAGCCCAGAGGTATTGATTCACTAACTTGTTTCTATAGGCCTTCACGCCGGATCAGCTTGAGGATCTTTCTGGAGTTCTTTGGAAGAGCTATTTCGCATAATGCGCAAATGAGGGACGATAACCATGCATGGGTGGAAGAGTCTGTTATGCATTCTTCTTTTCAACACGACACGTTCAAGATTTGCATATCGTTTTAGGCTTGCCTGGGTTACAGTATTGAGTGGATACGGGAGCTGGCCAGCGTTGGGTAGTATACGTAGGGACTTAGCATATCAAAATCCACAAGACATCTATTGTTTGATACCTCGAATCCTTGTAATATTGTCTCTTTCTGTTCACACGGACTCTCCCAACACTGCCATTTACAAAGCAGTTACATGATATACTTGGTATAGTTACTTGAGGTGGTGGTGGTGGTGTGGTTGCAGATGAATGCCAAGTTTAGTCAGCTGGTGTGAGCAACATCACGTGCCGGGAAGCAGCCACGCGGCTCGGCGGCCATCGAACCGCATCATCAATCGAACTCCAGGGGCGCTGAATAGCTTCAAGTCCTCCCTTACGGTTAATCCTTTGCCAGTTCGGCTTTGGAAGTCTATCTTTATCCTGCAGCAAGTTGTTCAATCTCTGGTTCTAGCGCTCCTGCGCGTTTTTGTCCCTGTGGTGTAGAAGAACTGCTCAAGGCAGTCTTGCTTTCACCATGGCTCCAAGGGACACATTGTTCCGCTCGTCGGAGATGAGCTTGACCCAGCTCTACATCGCCAACGAGATCGGAAGAGAGGTTGTCAGTGCTTTGGGAGAGCTCGGTCAGGTTCAATTTAGAGATGTGAGTTCGTTGTCTGATATCTTTGGTTGACATGTGCGAAACGAATCCAGCTGACATCTGTTGCGTCCGTTTCTAGCTTAACCCCGACACCAATGCGTTCCAGCGTACTTTTACGAAGGAAATTCGTCGTTTGGACAATGTGGAAAGACAGCTACGTATGTTCTGCAATCAGTGATAAGGTTTCTATGAACCTCGATCTAATCCGTCTCGCACACCAGGCTACTTCCACGCCCAGATGGACAAGGCAAGCATTCCCATGAGATCTTCGTCTGAATTCTCCGACACACTGGCTGCTCCTTTGGCCTCCGAAATCGACGAGCTAGCCGAGCGTAGCGAAAGCCTCGAACAACGGATCGCTTCGCTGAACGATAGCTATGAGACCTTGAAGAAACGTGAGGTGGAGTTGACTGAGTGGCGCTGGGTGCTGAGGGAAGCTGGTGGTTTCTTCGATCGCGCTCACAGCCATACGGAGGAAATCCGCCAATCTTTCGACAACGACGAAGCCCCTCTCCTCCGCGATGTCGAACAGCAGAGCCGCGGTCCCAACGGCGATGCGCAGGGTCAGCAGTCTTTCCTGGAGATGAACATCGGATTCGTGGCTGGTGTGATTCCGCGGGACAGGATTGGTGCCTTCGAGCGCATCTTGTGGCGTACTCTGCGTGGTAACCTCTACATGAACCAGTCGGAAATCCCCGAGGCCATCATCGACCCGACGACCAACGAGGAGTCCCACAAGAACGTTTTCGTCATCTTTGCCCACGGAAAGAGCATCATCGCTAAGATCCGAAAGATCTCCGAGTCGCTTGGGGCCTCTCTTTACAACGTCGATGAGAACAGTGAGCTGAGACGGGATCAGATTCATGAGGTCAATACCCGCCTGGGTGATGTTGGCAATGTCCTGCGTAACACCAAGAACACCCTCGACGCGGAGCTCACGCAGATTGCCCGCTCTCTTGCCGCTTGGATGATCATTGTCAAGAAGGAAAAGGCTGTGTATGATACACTGAACAAGTTCTCCTACGATCAAGCGAGAAAGACTCTTATCGCAGAAGCATGGTGTCCGACCAATTCGCTGGGCTTGATCAAGTCGACATTGCAGGACGTCAACGACCGCGCTGGGTTGAGTGTGCCTACTATCGTCAATCAAATCCGGACCAACAAGACCCCACCAACCTTTATGCGGACGAACAAGTTCACTCAAGCTTTCCAGACTATCGTCGACGCCTACGGTATCTCGAAGTACTCTGAAGCTAACCCCGGATTGTACACCATCGTCACATTCCCCTTCCTTTTCGCTGTCATGTTCGGTGATTTTGGCCACGGTGCCTTGATGACCCTGGCTGCTGCCGCTATGATCTTCTGGGAACGCAAGCTGGCGAAGACCAAGCTGGATGAGCTGACTTACATGGCATTCTACGGTCGTTACATCATGCTTATGATGGGTCTCTTCTCTATGTACACCGGTCTTCTCTACAACGATATCTTCTCCAAGTCCTTCACCGTCTTCCCCAGTCAGTGGCAGTGGCCCGACGATATCAAGCAAGGACAGACCGTCGAGGCATCGTTGAAGACTGGCTATCGCTTTCCTTTCGGTCTGGACTGGAACTGGCACGAAGCCGAGAACTCTCTTCTTTTCACCAACAGTCTGAAGATGAAGATGAGTATTTGTCTCGGTTGGGCACACGTAAGAGACTTCACCAAATTTCTTTTAACAATTGTTAACCTAGTTTACAGATGACCTACGCTCTCTGCTTGCAATACGTCAACGCTCGGCACTTCAAGTCGAAAGTTGATGTTATTGGTAACTTCATTCCCGGAATGATCTTCTTCCAGTCCATCTTCGGTTACCTTGTTCTTACCATCATCTACAAGTGGTCCGTTGATTGGAACGCCCGCGGCCAGTCTCCACCCGGGCTTCTCAACATGCTTATCTTCATGTTCCTCTCTCCGGGAACTGTCGAGGAGCAACTCTACCCCGGTCAGGCAAGCGTCCAGGTTCTTCTCTTGCTTCTGGCTGTCATCCAGGTGCCCATCATGCTCTTCTTCAAGCCATTCTATCTTCGTTGGGAGCACAACCGTGCCCGCGCTCTTGGATACCGTGGCCTTGGCGAGCCATCCCGGATTAGTGCGTTAGAAGACGATGCCGATGGTGGTCGCGACAGCATGGCCAGCGATGGTGAAGGTGTCGCCATGATCGCCCAGGATCTCGGTGACGAAGAGCACGAGGAGTTCGACTTTGGCGAGATCATGATCCACCAGGTCATCCACACTATTGAATTCTGTCTGAACTGTATCTCCCACACCGCCTCCTACCTGCGTCTGTGGGCTCTGTCTCTGGCCCACCAGCAGCTCTCTATCGTGCTGTGGGACATGACCATTGGCGGCGCTTTCGAACAAGAGTCTTCCACCATGCGGGTGGTCATGATCGTTGTCACCTTCTACCTCTGGTTCACCTTGACCATTGCCATTCTCTGTGTCATGGAGGGTACCAGTGCCATGCTTCACTCCCTCCGTCTCCACTGGGTCGAAGCCATGAGCAAACATTTCATGGGTGACGGTATACCTTTCACCCCGTTCAGCTTCCAGACCCTCCTCGAAGAGGATCCTGTTGATTAGTCTTTCTTTTTCTGACTGCATGCGTTGCATTTTCCTTTCCTTTCACACTTTTGGATCAAGATGTCACATTAGTACATTCCCTGAGGGAATTCGATCGAATCTAGATATTCATGGCGTCTTGTCCTTTTATCCGTGTCTTTCTTTTGGCTGTGCTACTAGATGATCGGAAATATATATGTCAATTGTATACTCAGAAAGAAGTCGTAGGTCATATTCTTATAGCCATATGCAATGTAAATCATCTCGCTGTAGAGATTAGTGAACCATTATTCTGGTCACCCTGCAATCAGAGGAATTCGCACGTCTCGGTTTCAGATGATGAGTGTTGGATTGGGTTTTGTTCAATTAGGAAGTGAGTTGTATAGTATATTTGAATTGGGATTTTGGGGAATTGGGAAAGTGTAGTTATATACTTCATATATGTTTGATTCACAGCTCAGATCCCTTTCATTGTCAGCTCAGTTCCATTTCTATATTCACTTCTCTTCTCTTCCTCTTCTACCTCCACTACTCCTTCTCTTTCTCTTTGACCTCGCTATCATCCTCCTTTCTTTTTCGCTACTCTTCTAAGCCTTCTGCGCTCGGAGTTCCTTTCTTCGGATCTCCACATCTATTCTTCTAACCCAATCGATTTTCTCGCAACCCCGTTCCTATTCCAACCACATCTAGTGCTCATACGACTGTTTTGCCACTTAAAGGCTATCAGCGAAGCAGGATATTGTAAGATAAGCGGGTGGGATTCTGAACACTCTATACTTTGACCGGGAAAGTAACCTCTTGGGCCGCGTTAGGGGATAGCAATGGGCAGTATGTCAGGCGACGAATCAGGCGACGAATTCTGGAAGGGTAAGAGACCCAGGAATTTGGCATTTACAGAACCTTCCTTATTGACTACTGTATAGACCTGAGCGACGATGAGTCAACTGAATCCACAAGACTCCAGTTTGGCAAAGGTCGATCGGGCCTACAGAAGGCTCTTTTACGAACGGACAAGACCGAGTGGTTCCGGTGGTTGCAATCAGATATACTAAAGCCCTTCTGGGTGGAGCTGTGGGATTCTTACCTCAAGACCAGTGGGAAGAGGGGGCTCGGGGGGTTGGACTGGCAGCCGTGCAGGAAACTCTGATCCAGGGAGAAAAAGGCGGCAAAAAAAATTATCCCAGCCTGATACCCCCTTACAAAGCATCTTGGGGGGCTGTTGATCACCTAGCCCGGTTTATGTACTGGGTAAGAAAAGAGAATCTCGAGTCGTGCGAGGGTGTTTTCTATGGGAGAAACATGCACCCCGATGATGTCGACCAGGCCATCTGGATGCTCAAGAACTATCTCCAAGAACTCCACTCCGAAAGACAAATAAACAAAAAGACTGGCGGGACAGCCATTTTTGGCACCAAGCGCCACAATGGTGAGCCGAACCCCAAGGAAACCTGGAATTTGGCTAATCCAGAGCTTGCTTAACAGATGCAGAGGTGAGCAATACAAAGTGCAACACCGGCAACGATGACAAGGCCATACTTGGTGACGGAATGGCGACAACGACGCCGAGTGAAGGTGAACTTATAGAAGAAACATGCAGCGACAACATTGATTGAGTGCAAGAAGCCCTAACACCCAAGCAAAAGATTCGCCTCAACCGTCTCTCGCCAACTTACAAAAAGGAAGAAGTTTATTGGCAGATGACTAAAATAAATAGAGCCTTAGAGATGACAACAAAAAGGACTCCGTCAGAAGAGCGTCTCGATGAGGAAGCCAATGATAACAGGGAAGAGGAGGAAATCCCAGAGCTTGCTAAAGATACTGAGCATGCTATATTCGACCCTCATGGTTCTCGGCGAACTAAGAATCAATAGTGTCTCGCAAACCACAATGTATTCACCATAGTAACACATTTCGAAGCGGACCCCGCTAAATTAAATGAACCATATCTCGGAGATTAGAAAACTGGGGCAATCTTGCCAACTATAGGCCGATGCTAGCTGTTCTTCATCTAGGGATAGCCGAGCTCTACAGCCTTATATCTACACCTATGCATACATTAGTGCAGTAATTGACCGAGGATGATCCCGGCATGTTCTTCAATCATAATAATATAAATTACTGCTGCTATTACATAAATAATACCTGACTCAATGCCAATAATCCTACCAGAGCCCCTGCCGTAGACAATCTTGTTGCTGCTGATGTGCACTTTTCGGATCCTAGAACCAACAGGTCAGCCTTTTGATTCGCATCCACATCGATATGCAAGAGAAGAAGAGGAAGAAGAAGAAGATGGGGGAAAATTGATTCACCTCTTGCATACGCGCACAAATCATCGTAGCTCCAGATACTGCTAATCCAGTCGCTGTAGTTGAAATTCCCAGTCAAGTTATCGCAGCGGGTATAACTACATTCCCAGGCGGTTTTACTCCAAGTATCAGATACGCCGTGTGCGTTCTCACAGATACACTTCAGAGTAGATTTGGAGGTACTAGCCGCAATAGTGGTGTAATTGGTACCGCAAGTACCGTTGTCGAGGATTTGACTGAGATAACCTGAATAGCAGGGCTTGAAGCAGGACCCGTAATTGTCCATGTAGGCATCCCAGGAACAAGGAACGAAGGACATGGTAGTATGAGAAAGATTCTTCTCAGTAGCCCCTGATGGAGAGAAAGAGAAAAAATAATGATGGGAAATGATAGTTCGGTCAGCGTGTAGGGGTTTTCGTTGGAAAAATTCGGGCTTGGTTTGATTCTGTCAACTTCTTCGAGTCCCGGACCAACCTTTCTTCATAACCGATCATGTAACTAATGACCAACACTTATTATTTACATTTTTCCCTTTTTTTTTTCTTTACCCGTCCGCTCTTCACTGGACTAGACAAACCCTGGGTAGACCCTGCTGCTGGCAGCAACAAAACCCTTAAGGGGAAGATGGAGATTTTCTGGTGGACACATACTATGATAGTTCCTGACTAGTGTAGTTTTACTTCGTAGGATCTAATTCCCTGAGTAAGTTAGCTTCGCTCATATCAGGGTCATTCGGGTGGACCCCGGACATATCCGATTGGTTGCCTAAGATCTGATTTTAAAGCCGGGTTGTTATCCCTACCGTGGAATTAACAGCTGCACTTCAGAAGTTTTGGCACATCGGCTGCGAGCTAAGGCTGGGCTTGGCGAAGCTTCTCTTGCGGACTATGGAAAAAGTCAAAGCGAGTAGAAGGGGCAGACGAATCAAAGGCCACTGTGAAGGGCATGGGTTTCTGCTGATAGCTACTTATCATCTGTACCTGACATCCTATTTCGAGACCGTGAGCTAATTGAGATGCACTAGTTCAGGACTCTAATATTAGGCCATTCCGTCCATGTGATACTTGCTCTACAATCGCTGCGTCAAACAGCATCACAGTTGATGATATTGATTCCTTCAACAACAACACCTGGGGATGGCTTGGATGTGATGACCTCCAAGCTGGAGAGAACATTTGCTTGAGCAGTGGTGATCCTTCCTTCCCTGCCCCGCTTACAGATGCTGTATGCGGCCCGCAGGTACCCGGTACTACGGCCAATGGTACTAGCTATGATTCTTGGGCTGATCCCAATCCTTGCCCTCTCAATACTTGCTGTGATGTGTGGGGGGAATGTGGAACCACACCGGACTTCTGTACGATCACTCAGTCAGTCACAGACAATCCAGGCACTGCTGAAGCTGACATAAATAGATATATATTTAATTACAGAACTGCTATTATCAATAATTTGACTGCCCCTGATGAGATTTTCTTAATTAATTACTTTAAAATTTACAATATCAAGAGCAGCCATCTTATAATAGATACTTATAAAATCAATACAGACAAGTACACTCATGTTATCTTTAGATTCGGAACTATTAATTTAAATTACTCTATCAACATCAACTAAACAGAGCAGTTCAACTAATTTCTAAACCTAACTGATATCAAAAAAATTATTTCTTTAATAGATAGAACTTCTTGATAGGCAGTAATATATATATAATATCCAGAGAAGAAGTTACATCTGCTGACTGCGTTTATTAGCTAAGAATATTAATGACTTTGTATCTGCACACGGCCTTGATAGTATTAACTTTAACTAGAAGTATCCGGGAGAACTAGATTTTCCAGGAATTCCAACTGGCAGTAACAAGAATGATGCAAATTATATAGCTTTCAGTTTCTTAAGAAAGTCCAATCTGCCATTAGAACAGACAAGACTTTATTTATTACTATACTAACATTATACTGGTATCTTCAAGGCTTCCCAGTTTCAGATATCAACTAGATTATTAACTTTATTATCTTTATAATATATAACCTGCATGGACAATGGGACTATAGCAATACTTCAGCAAATAATGAATATAAAGATGGTAACTGCTTACGCTCATATATTAACCTGACCGAAACACACTATGCCTTGTCAATAATTACAAAAGATAGCGCTGACACTAGTAAACTCATGGTCGGCATCACCAGCTATGGAAGATCATTTGAAATAACAACAGTAGGATGCACTGGCCCTGAGTGCACCTATGTTGGACCTGACTCTGGAGCTACTCCGGGTAGATATACCCAAACAGCAGGCTATATTACCAACGCAGAGATTAACGAAATAATAGCTTCAAATCCCACTGTGCAGGTCTTGTTTAACAGTGGAAGTGACTCGGATATCATAGTCTACAACGAAACACAGTGGGTTATATACATGACTAATACGACTAAGAGCACGCGCACTTCCTACTACAAGGGTCTGAATATGGGGGGAACGACGGAGTAGGCAATTGATTTGGAGGAATTCCTGATTGAGCCAACCGATACCTCAGCTTTCGATGCATTCTTGCTCAAACTGGAAGTCAACGAGACGTTCTTGAAGAACGATACATGCTCGGACCCAGCCGCCGGGGAAACAAGCGAGCAGGCAAGTGAAGAACGAGGCATTGCGGCGTACATTGACTGGCTCGTGAAGGACAGCTTTAAGTCACGTATGTTCTTCTTCCCTTAATAGCCTGTCGAAACATTTGATTGCCTCACGTGTCATAGCTTAAGCACAATACTAACTTTGAGTGCAGCTTCTGAATGGGCCAATAGAATGTTCAAATCTACGGGGCAGACAACTCAATGTGACATTTATCCTGATAGCCAGTGCAACTTCCCTTCAGGTTTCTGTTCCAATTATACCATCCCCTCTGAGTACTGGGCCGAATACGTTGTGGCGAACTTCCATGAATACATCACTGAATTTGGTTCCTTGTTCAATTACGTGAATCAGAATCAGTCGCTGGGCATCGATACTATTGTCGCAGACTTCCCTGTCAAATCATCAAGCACAGTACCCGATCTAGCGACTATATTCACCAATGTCGGCGGTGCACTGGGGATTGTCGGAAGCACTCTACCTCTGCTTGATGAAGAGACTGACACCGCTTCGAGCATGATGGGTGTTATGAGCGGGCTCTTTTCCACTGCTGGATCTGACATTTCCTCCAGCAGCGCGACCGATACCGAAACAATCACTCTGGAGAAGAAAGTTGAGGCTATTTATAGCCTGATGTACACGGCTGTTCAGGATATCCTCATTGACGTCTTCGAAACCGGCAATATCTCCTCCTGGCCCTCGGACCTGCGATCTGGTGACTACTCCTTTGAAGTCGCCAATTTCTTCAATGGCCGATACATGTTCTTGCTCACTGGTGAACAAGCCGAATCCCTGGAGAGCACTTTCAACACCTATCTTCAACAGTACCTTGTCGGCTCCGCATTGGCCTCGGCCAATTATTATGTTTTGAAGAGTGCCTACTCCACCAGTACCTACTCCTCTATCACCAGCGGGAAGGTGATTGACGGTGCCTGTTATACTCTTCAATATCCTGGTGCAGGGTGGGAATTGGTCAAGCAGATCATGACAGATCCGATTAGCAGGTGATGATCTGACCAAGCTAACAGATACCTATAATGTTGACCTTAAGAGTCTCTATACCAACTCATACACTTGCTAGAACACCACCGGTACGTATGGGGGCACACTCAAGATAAATATTCTGGAGTTCTCTTCGTCTCTTCCAACCTGCTTCTATAACCTTCCCGTCTTCACGGTCGAAACGTCTGAGGAGCCTAAGGTGAACAACAATCTATCTTCGCCATGCCTGGTGTACGAGCAGAACCTGACTGCTAAGACGGCCGAATTGGGTGTGACCTGGTTACCGAGCAACCTGGCTGACATTTTTGTCAAGGACTTTTGTGAGTGCAATGCTGGTGCTAGAGAGTACTCAGAGATCTAGAAGAAAAAGCACGAAGGGGGAAGAAAAAGGAGGGAACACTGGTTCTCTTTGATGGGAAGGGAGAAAAAAACTGATGTTGGAGTTTTGTTTTCGCCTGTGCACACGGGCGCATGTGATTGGTGGTAAAAAGTAATTCCTTTCAGCAAGTTATTAGTAGTAGCAGTCAAAAATGTCGTTTCAGTCTTTGATAAGACAAACAAACAAACAAACAAATACTCTCTGTTTCTTTTCTTCTCTATATAACATAATGGAGTAGTCTGTTGTGCCTTGCTCTTCACCAATCTGTCACAGACCGAGAAAAAGATTCAGGCAAGTCTTTTCTTTATTTAGACATGATGGACGCCATTCTACGGCAAGAAGCGAATCGTTTCTATATAACTGAATCCGTGATACTCTTCCACATTCCCCCGATTACATTGTAATGTCTTTGCTCAACTGGCACGCATTTCGATGTACTTTACGGATGATGGGAGTCACAACCGCCCTCTAAGAATAAAGTAGACCGGTGCGGAGGCGGGGCAAAAGTCGGAGGAATGTAAACAACAATATAACCAAGATTAGTAAGAGATTTACAATTCTACATTGTATCCTAGTACAAGTGACTAGAAGTGACTTCTGTTGTCTTGAGAAGAAATGTATAATTATAGAATTTTTATTTGTATTTTGATTTAAATATGTAAATGTTTGTGGATCATAAATCACATGCCAGTGCAAAGGTGTCACCGGGTACCTGCTGTACGCACTGACTGGCTCGCATTAAGTAACATGAAACCATTAAACTCCACCCTAGTGCTGTTCCTTTGTGCCATGAACTCATTTGTGGTGCTGGTTGTATGTGTCGATAATCTTCTGTACCTCGTCCTTTGAGCCCAGGAACACACCGCTCCGGTCGTGAATGTGTTCCGGAACCACCTCCAGAAGACGCTCCATCTGGGAGTTCACTGCCAGACCACCTGCGTTCTCGAAAAGCATAGCCATGGGGGCACACTCGTAGAGGATACGAAGCTTGCCCTTGCGGCTCTTGGAATCAGCCGGGTAGGCGAACACACCACCGTAGAGGAGAGTCCGGTAGGCATCGGCCACCATGCTACCAATATAACGCGCGCTGTAAGGCTTCTGGCCGTCACTGGGGTACTTCAGCGAGTGGAGGTACTTGTTCACCCAGTCATCCCAGTACATGCTGTTACCCTCGTTGACCGAGTAGATGGCCCGCTTGGCGGGAAGCTGCATGTTGGGGTGTGTCAGGATGAATTCACCCAGGGAGTTCTCCATGGTGAAGCCATTGACACCGCCGTTGCGCATGGTGATCACCAGCTGTGCGGAGGCACCGTACATGGTGAAGCCAGAGGCAACCATCTCCGTGCCGGGGCGAAGGAGGTCCTGAGCAGTGACCTTGTTGTTGGGACCGAGGACCTCATCGGGAAGCTTGAAGATTCCGAAGATGGTACCAACCGAAACGCCAGCGTCAAGGTTGGAGGAACCGTCAATAGGGTCGCAGACCACGGCATAGCGGGCATTGGGGTGCTCGTCGAAGATGATAGCCTCTTCCTCCTCCTCGGAAACAAGGATACGGCACTTGCCGGAGCCCTTCATGGCGGAAATGAATATGTCATTGCCGATGACGTCAAGCTTCTTCTGATCGTCGCCAGTCGTGTTTGATGAACCAGCCAAACCAGTCAGGTTAATCAAGGAAGCGCGACGAATGTAGTAGGCAATAGACTTGAAAGCAAATTGAAGAGCGTGGCAGAGTAGTCTGGAAAGAGGGGGGGAAATCCCGTTAGTAAGAGAAACAGCCAGATTTGATTGAGGGGTAGGAAAACTCACGTGAAGTCGCCGGTGGCTTCTGGAACCTTGACCTGCTCCTCGGTGAGGAAGCGGGTGAGGGTGACAATATCCGTGTTGATGTTCTCCTGTCCTACAGGAGGAGCACCGCCATTGCCGTTTGAAGACATGTTGTGCAGCGTGTGGTTTGATCTGGGGGGAAGAGAGGGCTTGTGAAGTAGTAATAGTACAAGTGGGAAGCGGAGACAATCTAGTCTGGCGCTGGCTGCTTCTTTAAAAGAACTTTGGCTTTTCAACCTCGGGTCAACGGGGAAAGCAGGAAGATGCGGAGATAACCAGGGTACAGAGGAGGGGTGGGAATGAGCTGGGAGGAGCGGTTGAGATGTAGTTTATAAGTACTTTGGGACAAGTGGAGGAGGGACAGTTGGCAATGAGTACGTAGATACGTAGAAGCTGCAGGAAGAAAGTGATCTATCCTCCATCCGAGGAGAACAGGGGCATCCTTTAAGTGAGCGTTGGGGCCAGCCAGGACCAATCTTTTACCGGGTTAGGAACCTAACGTCAGAAGCCAGAATAAACCGGACATTTACAACAGAAAAGAGAGAGTGGAGAGAGAGAGAGAGCATCCAGAACCCTTTTCCCTTTGGGCCTGACGCAATAACTAGAAAGGAAGGATGGTTTTCGTCATTTCCCCCACTCTAACCCGGTTTGGGCGGGTTCCCGGCTCTTTCTCTTGCCTTCGCCCGGTTTAGCCCCGAATTTCCCCGCGCTGGGATCTGGAGTTTCTTTCTCCCAGTACGGAGTAGTCTATCCCGCATACTAGGTAGCATACTAGCTACTAGACAATTGGTAAAATTGATATTTGTGTGGTCAGGCTCCTAGATGCTATCTTGTGTTCATAAGATACTATACATACTCATCCTTCCATTCGGACGAGCGACAGCGATAAACACACCCCACGCTGGTTTGACCCGGACTATTGAACTCCCTCGGCTCGTATTAAGGGGCTTAAAGAAAAATGTCGCATAAGCGCAGCTAGAAAGGATACCTAGACTATCTCTCAGCCCGTTGTACCTAATCGCGGCGGGTGGATTTCGGATGGTCACCAGACATGCGAATTTTGATAATCCGCGTCAAACTATGCCGAACTATTCGAGTCTCGCCCGCTCTGTTTAATGAGTCGATTCCGGATCCCTCCTGAACAGCCGGAGTAGTACCACCTGTTCCGTTGATCAACAAGGGATAGGTTAGTAACATGTCTCAAAGATTTGGTCCAGCCTAATCGATCAGAGCTATTGCTCTGGCCAATGAATAGTATGATCCCCCATGTCAGTCTATTATTATATGAGTTTCATCCATCGGGAACCCGATTCAAAACCGGAAGGTAAGACGGGAAGTTTCACCGCCTTCTCTTCCGCCTTCTGAGGCAGACAGACACGGCAGAACGGTTGTCGGTTAGATGCTTACCTAAACCACTCATAACCGGACCACATTGGGGCTAGCTTCTCGGTAAAATTAGCTCCGAACGGAATGCTTGAAAAACTTCGACGCGGATTTCTAGCTTTCTTCCCACACAACAACATCCCACACTGTGTGATGCCTTCCTATAATGCCCGTGGAAGCATGCATCACATATCTGTAGAGATCACCACATTACCGTGGCTTTGCTCACCTTTGTTGTTGAACTGACACATCTCGCCTCGATGCACAGGATTCATTTGGTAAGTGCCACAATTGCCAGCGCTTCCATCATTCCCATTCCCCTCTTATGATGATACCTACAACCATTTCAAACTAGAGTCTTTGACCCCTTCAGGGCATGAAAACTCACTTGTTTTGCACGTCAGTCTGATGCTTTTGCTCAAGACATTCTTGTTCAATCTTTCAGGCATTGATCAAAGCAGGATGCTAACGGTCAACAGGACACTAATACTCTCATCTAGCTCCCAGAACAATATGCGAGTCTGTCTGATTTAATGGTAAGCTCTCCCTTTTACCTTTCCTTTTCTTCTCCCCATGACTTGCATGATGCTTCTTTTACAATATATACGCTGGAAATTACCGACTGAGACCTTCGGGTCATCGACGATATAAATTGGCTATTTCTGATCAGTCATAAAAAACTGCCTATTGTTTTCACTGTCATCAGTTTTGTTCGCATATGCTGACGGTTACAAGATTGTCTACAGATCACACAGGCTCTATATCTTCACATATAGTTGGCGAAGGGTAAGCTATATTCTCACTGTCTCCTTCGTCTCCATCCCTTCGAAGATGAAACGGCACTGGGCTCCGACGGCGTCAGACATAACGTCCGGTCTTGATGGATATGCCCTTTTTGCGGCAGGCCTAGAAAACCTCGCCCACTGAGATATGTTCTCGATCATTAAGATTCACACATAGCGACCTCTTGGCTTGAAGCTAACTGGTAATTAAAGATGGCAGATGTCTTGCTATGATCTTCTCTCTGACACCTAGTAAAAGGTAAATTCAAGCCCCTTTCCTGCAATTCCCCATTACACGAGGATGATTCCCTAGATGACGAGTCTTATTCGAGTTATCGATGCAGACAACATCTTTTTTATACCATTCATGCATTTCTGAAATACCTGTTCTCACATAGAACGTTGCATCAGTTGGCTCAGACCAAAGCTAACTCAATTGCAGCATAGGAATATTTATTGGGACAACATGTTGCTCCAGTATAATGTCTCCGACAGTCAGGTATCTGTATGTCACCATCTCTATTCTCCGTCTGGCCCACATCGTACAATGATGAAACGACACAAAATAAAGACAAGCATATGTCCAAGTTGGCTTTGCCGACCGGGACGACAATCGTCATGACTGATCAGTCAACATGTTGTCAATACATCATCTTCAACCTCGCACGTCCATGGTGACTGACCAGCGTGGTAGTTATCAGTAGTTTCATCGCTAGCAAAGAGCTCAACATTATACGTAAAACGTGAGTATACACTCTTTCGCAACTCCCATTCCCCTCGTTCAAATGATGATTTACTACTATTTTATCACGACGGTCAACATAAATATTTAACCTTGATGACCACCGCCTGTGACAGGGCATTGGATCTGATATGCACCTTGCTCATTATGATTGTTTTTGTTGCACATAATGTGTGGAGTCTTTGCTGACATGACTTTAGTAATATTATAGGACTTGTTATTCGATCGACATGCTCCAATCGTCTAGGGGCAACGCTCCTATCCATGCGGGACAGGAGTCGTACAACATGCTGGCATGTTCTTTCAGCCGGGATCTTTAGCTTGCAGTAGTCCGAATCCATAGCTACTATAATAAGAATCAATCCCTGGTTGTACTTGCATCTATCTTTATCGATAACCCTGTAATGCCCTGTTCTTCTGCGTAGGCGCTCATGGCCTGAGGCGACGGCGTCCCGTGCCCCTGTCATGGCGCGCCCGATTTGCTCACGGACAAACCTTTCGCCCTATCGCAGACCCTGTGGCATGTCTGGACTACTGCTAGGCCTTGCTAGTCTTGACCATCTTCGTCATAGGCCGATGTGACAGCGATGCTGGTTTGTTGGAACAGGGTCTGGGCGAAGGGGAGCACGGAGGGCAACGAGCCTGTGAGAGGGCGCGGACGGACAACTTAAGCGCCAGCACCCACGCCGCCTGTGATCAAACCGGCCAGGCTGCATCTCGCGGGATGCACTAGTTCTCTGAAGAGTCAAGACCTGCAATCCACCGCCCGCTGCTTGTTGGCCCTTGTGCTATTTTTAACCTTTAGAGGGATTCTAGCACACATCTTGCTGGCCCTCCCTGGTCAGTCGATCGAAACCCACGATGCTCGTCGAACGGTTGATACATACCGACTGGCCCGTCTGGGCCTGCAAGCCTCCTCCACACCTGGTTGGACCAGAGGTTGTTGCAAAGAATAGAAATCGGTCTGCGCTTCAGCCCTCTGGCTCCTTCTCAATCGCTCGTCCGTGTTGGCACAATCTAATCTCACTCCTGCTTTTCCAGCCCTCAGCCTTCAGCCATGGCTCCGTGTTCGGTTGGCCCTGCATCCTTCCGTTAGTATGAATAGGTGCGCCCAGCTTTTCTCACACGCTGTGGTCCTCGACTTGTTCTCGTGTCTGTCTCGCAACGCTGCAAGGTACTGATCACGGCCTCTTTATAGCTGGCGATCGTCGGGCAATGCTGGCGACGAGCCGCCGTCTGGTCCTTATTCTTACAGCGGCTGGCCGACACCTCTTACCTCCAGCAACCAGCCGTCTCCTAGTCGTCGAGAGCATGCTGTACAGCCCCCTCCTCTGACAACGTCGTTGGGTGGTCATCAATTCCAAGGGCTTGGACTCGCGCTGGGATCGGGCTACAGTTCCACCCCTCTTTCGTCGACTTCACTGTCTAGTCCTTTCACGCAAGGCCAGTCTCCCGCCGTAGGCTCGCCTGGAGGGGCGGCAATCGGATCGTCACCAATGGCTTCTAGACAATACAATGTGCCTTACAATCCTCAGGATTGGGGCCCAGTGGGAAGTGGTTCGATGAATGCTGGCCAAGCTACATATACACCACCGAATAACATGCTGCGGATCGTCTCTCAGCCACGGTCAACAGGACCACACTCAGGTCTGTCATTTTTTTCTTTTGTCCCTCCTTCCCCGACTCCTTGATGCTCCTATACTGCTTTACCCTTTGTAGACTTGGGACTTTCCAGCTTGCTGCATGTCCACGGTGACCAGGAATGAACCTAATGTGACTTTGTAGATGTATCTTTGTCGCCGCCTCCACCACCATACTCTCCACCAAGCCAGCAACATCAGAGAGAAAATGTCAGTCAGAATACATCCTCAAGGGGCTCTACATCACCCAGTATGAGCTCCTCATATAATGGGGCGGTGCGTGCAGGTGGGGATGCTCCCTCAGAGTATCGACAGCGCCGCCTTCCCCGTACTCGCCCTCTGTCGATGTTCGTGGGAAGTGAGTCGAGCCACAATCGACGTGTCTCGCTACCACCACCTCCGCCGCTGCCACCAGGCCTTTCATCTAGGTCTTCATCCCAGAATAGGTCAGAGACCTATCGAGAACCCGCACCAGTTATGGCAGGGCCAGGGCCGCACATTGTGGTCTCGCCTGATAATCTCCACTCGACACAATTGAGCGACGATAGCAACATGCTTGAGCCCACTCAACCCTTTGATACGGATCGGCCTCCAGCTGCGAGAAGGGCCGTATCTGCTGGACCGGCCGTCAACAGTGCGAGTTCATCACGAGCTCATAGTCAGTCTGGAGCCCGATCCCCTCCAGGAAGTAGTTGGGAACCGGGAATGCCCCTTCCTCCACCCCCACCAGGACCGCCACCAGCCACAAGGTCACAGAGTGTGAATGGTCTCTCTGACTCGTCGTCATCCCGGAACTCGCAAGGCCCTGCTAGGAGTGGCAGGGCACGGCCGCCTCCAGTTTTAGGCACAGGTTTAGACAGCATTCCGCCAACACCAGCTGGATGGGTCGATGAAACAATCGATGTTAAACCCAGAGCAGACAGACAACCACTAACTATTGACACGGCAACTACAACCAATATGAGCGGCCCGGAATCTCTCGAGTCGTCTCGCGCAAGTCATAATCCCAATAGTGGTGGTCTGTTTCGCAGCCCAGCTATCAAAGACCCAAATGCTAAAGGCATCCGCGAAAGGAGGATTGAACGCCGGAACAGGCAAAGCCAGGTGCTTGACAGCCTCAGTGCTGTCTCCATGAGCAGCAACCCCTGGGCTGAAGCTCTCGAACAATTGAAACCCTCCAACTTAGTCTTGGGAGAATCGAGCGTGGATACGGACAACGGCAGAAACCCGGCCTCGGCCAAAGCCGCACCTCTCAGCACTCGCAGTATATCTTCTGATGGACCGCAGATTACATCACGATCTAGAGCATCTTCTGGGGGTCTGTTTTCGAACCGGTCTTGTTCCACCCCCAAGCCTGAGCCGAGTCCTCAAGTGCCGACCTCAACCTCGCGGTTTGCGCAAACGCCGCCGTTTTCACCGGGCACAGAAAGGTCGTCTGCATTCCCCAAACGTACTTCGCCAGCACTACCACCCAAAGCCCTGCCAACGCCACCTCTGCAATCCGGGTCAGAAACCACACCGTCTCGGCCTGGCTCCAAGGAAGAACGACCGGTCTCACATATACTACACCTTCCTAACGAGCCCGTGACTACAGTCTCACCCCTAGCCCCACGTCGCGTGTCGGCCCAGCAGAATCCCTCTCTCGACTCTGTCGTTAACCGCGATGACGAATTTGTCCGGAACGCTATACAGAGACATCGGGAATTCATCGAGAAGGAGGCCGGCACAATGGACGAGAAAGAGGCATTGCGGTTGTTCGCCGACTTCATCATCTCTGAGTCCCAGATCCGGCGTGAGAAGTATGCAAAAGTATGGGATCTGGATTTTTATGATGTTGACAGTGTACGCCTTAAATTGTTTGTCTGCCCTCCCAAACCAGCGCCGGTGCCACAGAATAGCCAAGTAGTACCAGGTCCATCTTCGAGGTGGGCGTCTAATCCTACGGCACCTAAGCTAAGTATACCCCAGGTACGTCCTGAATCGGCCTGGTGGAATAATTACCAACCATGCCTCTCGCCAATTGCAAGTCTTGGGTTGAGCAATGACGAGATGAGCTCGAGGGGACGGGCGCCTAGTCGATGGTGGGAGTCTAAAACTGGATCTAGCAGTGAAGGGGGAGAACGAAGAGTGCAAAGGTCAAAGAGGGAGACCAAATATATGGGATTATCACGTGGGGCCCTGCTATGGGAGGAAAGTCAAGGCTCGTCTGACACAGGGAATGCCGGCGCGTCGAATGGAGGAAACCAGTACGCTGCATATGGTCCTGATGAATACCCACCCGAAAAGGTAGGGTGGCACGAGGAGTCTGCCCCAGCAGACTACTCCAACAATCTCCGCCTTGGATCTACTAGGCGGCTTGAAGAAGTGCAGAGGATGGATGTCTCGAGACTAATCACCTTACCGCCGCCGTATCCCAGACACTATCCCGCGGTCAACAACAGCCACCCCGACCTCGTGACTTATCGGACGTTGGTGCGATCAATTACAGACTTGTCGGAGATCAAGTCCACCAGGCAGCGGCACCAAACCGAGATGGATGGGCTGTTCCAGGATCACCAGGCACGAATTCAAGAAGGACGACGGCAATTCAAGGCCAATATCCAGAGTCAAATCCAACAAGGCAGTATCACATTCGCAGAAGCGGCGGAAGCAGAAGCCGCATTAATTGTGGAGGAAAACCAACTCGAAAGAGATTTGATCAAGGGCGGGCTGGATAGATACCAAGAAACAGTTTTTAAGCCAATGCGAGCGATTCTTGCAGACAGGGTTGACAGGGCTACTGCTTGCATTGACGAGCTACGTGGCAGGCTGTTTGACGACGCGCGATCCGAGACCCCAGATCAAACCCAGGAAGAAGGTGATGAGAAGCCAGAGCTCCTGGAGAAGCTCACACAACTCAAATGGTTGTTTGAAGCGCGCGAGCAATTGCACCGCGAGGTATTCGATCTGATCAGCGAGCGCGACGAAAAGTACAGAGCGGTGGTCCTACTACCCTATAAGCAAGCATCCAACGAGGACAAAGTATGCGAGACCAATGAGTTCTTTGTCAAGGACGCCTTGGATCGCCGAGTGGAGTACGAGGCCAATGCCCTAGCACGTCTCGAATCCTTTTTAGATGTGATCGAGGGCAATGTAGCGCGAGGGGTGGAGATACAGCTGTCGGCGTTCTGGGATATTGCACCGTCGCTGTCAGAGTTGGTGCAACAGATCCCTGAGACGCTCCGTGGCTTTACTGTGCAGATTCCGGCCAACGAATACGACGAGAATCCGAGTTACCGGGCACATCCGCTGCAGTACCTATATACGCTCGTATCTCACGCGGAAAAATCCAGCTACCAATACATCGAGTCGCAGATCAACCTTTTTTGCCTACTGCACGAGGTCAAGTCCGCTGTTATGAGGGCCAGCTGCAACCTTATGGAGGCAGAACGAATCCGCTTGGGCGAGTCCGAGAGCAAGGTGCAGCAGGAAATGCAGGAAACCCGTACGGATGAAGAGCGCACCTTGACAAGCGATCTGAAAGACAAGGTAGCTACCGTGGAGGGCCAGTGGGCGGAAGCCCTGGGAAGTGGGATCCAGCGTCTACGCGAACGAGTGAAAGAGCAGCTAATGGTTGAAGATGGATGGGAGGATTTGGAGCAATTGGAGCAGGCATGATAAATAGAAGCAAGTTGTTATTGGTTCACGAATGATGACTGACGAGGGGCTATCAAGAGTTTACTTCTTTGTCGATTCTTGCGGTCTTGTTCACTGTTGTTTCCTGATTGAGTGATTTAATTACTGTGTCGCTAGAAGATACCCACATTCGTTTGCAGCTGCGAATCCACTTGATTATTGATTGAATAAATGGAGATATTCTGGTAAGATTGTTCCTCCGCGCCGATGACCGGACGGGTAACCACGTGACCCATGCGGCTTCTAGAGGTTTCCTTCCGGATCCTTGAACTTTTTCCCCTTTTGCCTTTCCCTTCTCCAAACCAACTCGTAGTCTTATTTAATACGGGCTTCTCCCCTCCCCCTCCGCTCCCACGGTACCATCCCTCTTTGCTCCTACTCTCCCATTGCCACCTGGGACTTGATTGATCTGTCTTTGCTCCAGCGTCTTTAAAGTGAGACGTTTTTTCTGTGACTGTAAGTTGCCTATGAATCTTTTTCCTGCCCAATTCTGCACACTTCACTCCCTCTCAATCTTGACCTGGTTCCCCTCCTATAAGGAAGGGATCCTGTCTCGGAGAGGGCTGTCCCATCGAATGATGAGAACTCATAGCTGGCACCAGTCAGACGGGGATGAAATCATCCTCCATGCTGAGTAGCTTGCGGTCCGGGAAACGCTATCCGGATCCTGAAACGATGCCTCCGCTCATATTTGAACATTATCGCACTACTTTATGGCCATGAATAAATGCTAATATTCTATGTGCGATGCAGAACACAACAGCTTTTTTGGCGAAAGAAGGAAGAAGAAAAAAGACACGGACTCGCTAAACAAATTGACCCACTGGCGAAGTTCAGCCCCGCAATAGAGCAGCTTTTCTTTCCATCGAGATCCTTAGACCAATTGATAATAAAATAAACTACCACCATCATGGTTCTTCACAACCCCAACAACTGGCACTGGGTGAACAAGGATGCCTCCGGCTGGGCCAAGGACTACCTTAAGGAGAACCTCTCCGTCCTCTCCGTGGAGGAGAATGGAGCCTCTGCCAAGATCTCCAACCTGCTGAGCATGGATGGCGATGTAGACGTCAGTCAGAGAAAGGGCAAGGTCATCACCTTGTTCGATGTCAAAGTACAGCTCGAGTATGAAGGTTCGTAATTAAGCAATGATAGTGTTTCTCTCTGTTCAGGGCACACCACTAAGACCTTTGACAGGTAAGACTGAGGACGATGAGTCCGTTAGTGGAAAGATCACCATCCCCGAGGTTGCCCATGACACCGAGGAAGATGAGTACGTCGTATGTTCCCTTTAGCCCCTCGTATTCCAATAGCTGTCCGGCCAATTGACCACATGGCGCTCTAGTTTGAGATTGAAAACTACTCGGATTCTCCTTCCAAGCAGGCCGTGAAGGACCTGGTTCGCTCCAAGCTCGTTCCTCAACTCAGACAGGCTTTGGCCAAGTTTGGTCCCGCCCTCATTGCTGAGCACGGCAAGGACCTCCAACACGCTCCTGGTGTCAACCCTTCCAGCGGATTCGCTGCTCCCAAGTACCACCCTCAGACTTCCAAGAAGGAATCCTCTGCCCCTACAACCACCACCACTACCACCGCCGAGAAGGTTTCGGTCAACACTACTACCGTGACCGCTTCGGACGAGTTCCGCACCACGGCTGAGGAGCTGTACAACACCTTCACCGACCCCCAGCGCATTGCTGCTTTCACTCGCGGCCCCCCTCGCCAGTTTGAGGGCGCTCAGGTGGGCGGAAAGTTCGCCATCTTCGACGGAAACGTCACCGGCGAGTACACCAAGCTTCAGGCCCCCACCTTGATTGAGCAGAAGTGGCGTCTTGCCCAGTGGCCCGCGGGTCACTTCAGCACGCTGGAGATCAAGTTCGACCAGAACGATGTCGACGGCGTCACTCAGATGCGTGTGACCTGGACCGGCGTCCCTGTTGGTCAGGAGGATGTTACGAAGCAAAACTGGGATGTCTACTACGTCCGCAGCATCAAGCAGACTTTCGGGTATGTTTTAATCCCTTTGCTTTGCCTATTAGCCAATTGCTTCCTCACAATGGCTTGCCAGATCTTCGTTTTCTTGGAGACAGTTGCTGATGGTTGTTTTTCTTCTTCTCGGTATAGGTTTGGCACTATTCTCTGAGCGTATCCGCGAAACCATGACCATATCATGATCTAAATTCAGCACTTGGGGGGTATGAGGGCGACAACGGATCCTGTCTACATCCACGCGTCCTGTAGAAGACGAGGGTAGCGAACTGCTTTTTGGATTCTTGACAAACTGTGTTTCTGGGACAGGCAATCTTGCGCCGACTCATCCTTACCTCACCTGACCTGATATAAAACTCCTCCCCTCCAAGCAAATGGGGGGTATGCGTCCAACGAATGCACGATAGACAGACCATGAACATATTAGTAGATGAGACAAATCACGATAGGAAGAAGACATTACACTTTGCACTTCTACACTTCTGGTAACTGTTACATATACATAACACCTCTACTGTTCTTTCTTGCATGAATTACTGCTTCATCAAAACCGATCTGGATTTTTAGATTTACCCTATTTTGTTTTTTCTAACACCCATCTCCCAAGTCGTTAATGTATCATCATAGAAGAGAAATTACAAGGGAAGAAATACTCTTTACAGAGTCTTCTCGATCATCTCAATGCCGTAGTCCTCCTTGAGGGTCTTGATCAGAGGAGCGCAGATGTCCATGGTCATGGGAGCAACAACACCCTATGATAACAATTACCGTTAGCAACCCATCCAACAACCAACTCAACCAACACCAGGTAAATAAAGGAAGAACCATACCTTCTGGTTAATAGTGCCATCCAAGACCAACTTAACAGCGACACCACAAGGCACACCGACAGTCTTAGCCATAGCCGAGTAGCCACCGGGCACACCATACTCGCAAAGAGTGGAAGTACGAGTCTCCTTCTGACCATCCTTGTGCTCGATCTCGAACTTGTGCTGCAACATGACGAGATCACGCTCACCCTCCTCATACTGCATCTTCTTCTCGAGCGTAGCGCAGAGAGTATCGAGCGGGTTACCACGGGGGGTGATCTGCTCATCACTGAAGAGGCCGATCCAGCGAAGACCGGAGATGATGCGGTCGCGGTCATCGTTGTTAGCGAAGGCCGTCTTGGAGGCAATGGCCCACTCGAGGTCCTTCTCGGCGGAGGAGGTGGCGCCGAGGATCTGCTTCGTGGCCTCCTTCCAGGCAATGGGGCTGTTGAGGTACTCGCGACCCTCGTCGGACAGGAAGCCGATGTCAACCAGAACCTTGATCATCTCGGGGAAGCCCTGGTAGCGGAGGGTGCCGCGGACGACGGTCTGGGCTTCGGGGATGTTGTAGCGCTCCCGGTAGGGGCAGGAGTCGCGGTTGGGGTAGGCAACGAAGGCGAAGCCAGGGTAGATGAAGTAGGGCTTGGCGGTGGCCATCAGGTCGGGACCGGCGACGCTGAATTCTTGGCCGTCCTTGTAGAACTTGGCGGCGTTGCGGAGGGCAAGGAGGACACCACGGCTGGACCAGCTGAACTTGTAGCCCAGGGGGTTGTTGGAGCACTCGGGGGCGGCTGTTTGAGGGGGTTAGGATGTGGTTTGGTTGTGACGTTTTTGTGAGGGGGGGAAGGATGACTTACGGAGGCCACCGCAGTAGCTGAGGAAAGAGGTGATCTTGCCACCTTCGGCGTGGACCTAAGGGGGTGGGTTAGGGATGGGTTGAGTAGTGGTGGTGGTAGGGTGAGTGATTCTGGACGTACCTCGGAAATGGTCTTGACAGCGTAGAGGTGGTCAATACCCTGTTTGGAGGTGGGGTTAGTTCAGTGCATAGTATGATATGGGGATGATGTGGCTAGGTAGACATACAGGGTCCAGACCGATCTCGTTCATGACGGTGATGCCGGCCTTCTTGCACTCCTCATCCAGCTCCATCATGGCGGGGGAGACGTAGGAGGTGGTGACGACGTGCTTCTTGGTGCGGATGGCGGACTTGATGACATTGGCGTGGAAGGTGTAGGGGATCAGGGAGATGGCGAGGTCAACCTGCTCCAGAGCCTTGTCAAGAGCAGCATCATCGGTGACATCGAGGGAGATGGCCTTGGTGTTCTTGAAGCCTTCGCAGAGCTTCTGAGCACTCTCGAGGGTTCTGCAGGCTGTTGGGGTATAGTAGACGATGGTCAGCTATGTTGGGTGCTACTGGATAGGGTGATCTCTATCAATTGAGCTGTACGTACCAACGGTGACGTTAACGTCAGCCTTGCTGAGAACCTCAACGGTGGGCTTCGTGACTATCGAGACAATGAGTCAGTGGGATGGAGTCCATCAATTAACCCCCAATGCGGGGTCCGAACGGCGGATCAGGAGGGGGGAGTGGAAGAGAGATGGGAGACATACCGAAGCCCGAGCCCAACAGGAGAACCTTGGAACCGGCGACAGGCATGATGGCAATTGGAGAGATATCAGGGTTATAGATTGGGAAAATAGGAAGAAAACAATATCAGGAGAGGAAATAAAGTTGAGTCAGTGTTGCGAGTGGTTGCTTCGATTCCCCCGCCAGTGTGAGTCACGTGGGGCTGCCCACTTGGTCGGATGCGGTATCGGAGGCTGCGATAGCGGACACTGTATTAGTTTATCTGATTATTTTACATGATCCGTGATTCCCCGAGGTGGAGATGCTGTCCCGTAGAGTATATAGAACTATAAATTATGTGCTATGTTTGCATCTATATGCTCATCATGGAACCCTTTTCTTTCAGCTTTCAGCTCAGTGACTGCTATAAATTCTAGATGGATGACAGGATGGGGGAATATTTGTCAATGCTCCCAAGGATGACTCCAAAACTCCCAATGATCGATGCCAGGACGGTAACCCAGTCCATGTATACAACAACAGAGAAAAGATAAAAAGTGAACATAACAATCTACAAGTCTTTGACCTTGCCATTATTTTCCTCCGCAGAGTCAGACGTATCGCCGTCAAAGTTGCCCTCCGCATCCGGGTTCTTCTTTGACTTGGAGATTCGACGCTGCCATCTCAGCATCACGGGCAGGAACTGCCAAAGGTCAAATTCCGGCCATAGGACGTCGAGGAAGACAATCTCCGTATCCTCATGGCATTGCCAAAGCATAAAATCACTAAGGCGCTCAACTCCAGACGTCCGGACCAGCAGATCTAGAGGAGGATTGTCATGGGTGAATAAATGCTCTGACAACGTCTGGCGCGTAATCGTCTCGGGGGACATAAAGACGAGGCTCTCCTTCCCGACGGCGGGCTCTGCGGCTGGTACTTTCCCATTGGCAGCATCTTGTTGCCCGGCGAGGTGGAGAGTCGACGAGGAAGAAAACGAAGATCCGTTTTCATAGACTCCGTTCGGTGTCTTGTGCTTCGTCGTTTCGCCGTCTCCTGATGACTCTGATGCCGCTTCCGAGTCACTCAGTACCTCTTCCCCTTTCGAAACCTGCGTCTGTGCTCGAATGTTTTGTGTAATGTGGGATTCGGAAAAAGGTGTCCTCGAGGAGATGGACGACGGACGAGTCGACGGAAGGGGCTGACTGTACTCGGCCACGGTATCTCGGACAGCCGTGGTGATCTCATCGCGCGACGTATACGGGAAACAGATGTTCAATACGCAGTCACCGTTGTTACTGGTCATTTCCGCGGCCCGGTTCACTGCAGCGAGAACATCCGGCCTGAGCAGGTCCAACCGACCCAATATCCGCACCTTGGCCCCGTAGCGATCGAGAATCTCGCCATGCTGAGCCATCTGCGACAACTTCACCCTGGCCATCTCCATCAATGCATCCACCTCGAATTTGGAGCGCTTGAAGTTTTCGATGCTGAAGGCGTAGATTGTGACCACTTTAACGCCGCTCTTGTAACAGACTTCGAGAATCTAAACCGCAGTACAAGTTAGCAGCTGATACTGGCGGAAGACAGAAGTTCTCTATGAACCGAACTCCATCGGACTCACCCTTGCCAAAGCCTCAAACCCCATGTTGTGTCCTTCCACCGTTTCAATCCCGTGCGTTCGAGCAAATCTCCGGTTACCATCCATGACAAACGCAATATGTTGTGGAACTGGACCCTGTCGGATTGCTCCGACCAAGAGGTCCCGTAGTTGCCCTATGGCAAACTCGATTGGCGGCGAAGCAAGGAGCCATTTCCGGAACCTCGACAAGTGTATCGATGTCGACATTTTGAGTGATTATGCGTATATTATAGAGTAAGACAAGCTTTTCCGAGTCGAAAAGGGCTGATTTGTGGAAGGCTGCGAGAGAAGCGGAGGAGGTTTCACGATGCAAGACGAGGGGCGTCCGTGTAGTGCAGGGGCGATGCACCAGGCAGTATCTCGATATTCGGACAAGTGGACCCAAGCAGCCGCACCCTATTTAACTGGAGAGCAGATATGAAAGAGATGAGGGCCACCAGAGGTGTAGTAAGGGTAATGTAAGCTTGGTGATGTGCCCGGTAGGGCCGTGCTCATCAGGCTACACTGTTCTTTTTTTGTTCGCGTTCGATCGTCACCCGGGGGGTAACGGGGATCGTCGGTTCGGCGGACCCTCAAGGAGTGACAGAATACCACAAAATGAACCACGAGGGAATTGAAGTCGTAGAAAGCGGTGACAACGAGCGAAGAGGCAAAGGAAATAGCGCAGAAGGGGGAAACGTAACCTGGATGGAAGACGGGGTGGGTCGGCCGTGACTTTGATCGGACGGTTTTCTCCACGTGTAAAGACCCAATAACAGCTCTCAACGTAACCGCGGCCTTCGAGCTGCTCCCCAGCCTGGCCGCGGCCATGCCTGAGGATGGCCCTTTTGCTGCCTCACCGGCAATCCTGACCTCCCCGAACCGTCAGGAAGAATGTCATCGGAGAAGCTTTTATAGAGAGAAGGTGTTGAAATTGCACAGCGACACGCGAGATAGAATTCCCCTGGGCCACATGCAGCCACTTTTGCTTGTCAGCTGACAAGCTTCAACCAAACCAAGCACCTGTCATCGCTTTGTGAACTTGCATGACAGCCACGCTGGCAGATACGTACCAGGAGAGAAGTGTATTCCGATGGTTCTAGCTGGATCGAAATAATTTTGGCAATAGACATGGGTGGCTTTCGTCCTTATCATCTTCTGTTCTGAGGACAGCCCTCTGGGTCCAGATTAGCTTCGTACATTAGCGCCACCCATCTTCGTCTTTGAAGGTTACCACTTTGATGCAAGGAGTCAGTCAAGCTCTTTCAATATGATTGAACTTGGTAGGGGATTCCACAGAATGTCGAGTCATTCCATATTTTCTGATAGGACTGTTTGCGAATAGTTGTTGCTGAGGAGTGCGTAGCTTATTCGATACCCTGGAATCGTAGGACTATCACTAGTAACACACAAAGAGTTGGTGCCAAACAGTTAAGTTGCTTAGTCCAAGGAACAATATCTCCGAAAATTTGGCTAGCTAGCTATTCAAAGAACTAATAACTATATCCGACCGTGCCGATAGCGTCCATGCGTCCAACCACCGATTAGTCTTCCGCCTCTGGAGACACGAGAGGTCCGTGTTATCTACCTAGCAAACGATCTCACTATTCTGCTTTGATTCAATGATACATGTCCATATCCCTGAATCCTGCATGAGCGTATTGATGAAAGTGCTGCAAATTATCGACATTCGAGGTCCGTGGACGTCGACACCAGGGTAGAGTATGCAGGCTTCCATCCACAGAAATGAACTCTTTGTTAGCTTAATCATCCTGTTGGGTACTTAATTGCTAGACTGACATCCACTCTGCCATTCATCCAATTGTAATCCAGGCACTATATCGCATGCGGGAATGATTGGGTTTCCGGACGAGGGGGCACAGGAAGTATGCGAGTAGTGGGCGCAGTAGTCCCTAGTTAGTTCATCCATGGTAAAGAATAAGATAAGGCCGGGAAGAAGGAAGCCCATTTTGGCCTGATAATGATCGCAATTTGGATGTTCAAATCCTTCTGCGTTCCCCAACCCTCTCTGGGTAGATTCGGGGCTGATATGAAGGCTCCTCCTGTATGTCCGACATGTTGAAGAGAAGTCCGAACTGGCCAGCCGCTCGAACCGAGACACCTTGAGTGTAAGGAGTTGGAGAGTTGGAAAAGCTTCCCCGCCTGACGGCCGCCCCGCGGACTGCTTCGTCTCCCGCCTTCGGGCTTCACTGGCTTGCTTTCCTTCCAGAAATTCCTGGGCATCGTTGGAAACCTCTAGTAGGTCTGCTGTTCCATCGAATTTTATTACCACACAGATAGAAGGAAAGACATCACTCAACTTTTTTGCCGTTATACGAAAGTGGTCCGCTGCAGCCACTAGCAACTATCGCCTCACTTCCCATCAGTGCCACTTTCGGGTGCTTCGCCATCAACGAAGTGGAATCTGGAATACCACATCTGACATTCTTTTGTCTGAATCGCTCTATCAGCTATCGGAAACCCATTCACCAACCCTTGGAGAATTCTCATCATCTCCGTCCCGCCAATCATTCCTGGATCGTCTCACCTGAAACTGGACCCTGGTGCTACTCATTGGTTGGGTTGTTTCAGCCAATACTGCCGTCTCTTCATCCTGCACTCTGAATCCATCCCTCCAGTAACTCATCCTCGAACGATATACTATCTGAATCCACAACATTCAGCCTGCATCCCGGCGCAGTCTGCACTCAGCCACACAGACCACGTTCTCGATCGTGGCTTTGACAAAATGTCGATCAAGTATGTAGATGTTCCCCACCATACCCAGTTGAGCTACTCTTATTATCGTTCTGCATGCGCTCAGTATCGATGGTTTTCCTTCCTCGATTCATCGCCTCTGATTTGTTACCTCTGTTATGCTGTATCAGATGAATCAACTTCCTTCTCCCTTGTCCCTCTCGCATCGTCCCATGACACCCTAGCATGCACACTTTTCAGTCAGAAGACCTGCGTTGTATACTTGTTTCAACCTAGAATGGGGATAGCACGCTGAAGGATCCATGCTAATGGCAATACTCAATACGGTAGCTGGGTGATGCTGCAAGGCCCCGAAGGCTTTGTTCGACTACCCAATGAGCATCAGTTGTTCGCCTCTCCTCCGCGGACAACTCTGTCTCTGCAACCCCTAGGCTCTAGCGCCAGTAAGGATTCTTTTTCCATGCAAAGCAGCGCCGGTCGAGTCTACCTGACAAATCAGAGGGTATTGTCTTGCTTTCGGACCCCATCATCTGACAAGCTCTTGTTAACATAATCATGCCAGATCGTTTACATTCCCGCGCAACAAACGAAAGAGTTTCAATCGTTTTCCACACCATTACTCAATGTACATGACGCCCATGTCACTGCACCATTCTTTGGGCCCAATGCCTGGATGGCTCTAGTCCAGCCGGTATCTGGAGGAGGCATCCCTGCGTCGTTGCCTGCTGTGCAGCTCAAGGTGACATTTAAAGAGGGAGGGGCGTTTGATTTCCACAACAATTTCGAAAGAATCAAAGAGCGTCTACAACAAGCTGTCGAGAATACTCAGGCGAGCAGTCGAGGTGCCCGAAATGTCGACATGTCTGCGATCCATCTCGACGAGCTACCTGCGTACACAGGCCCATCGGGTGGCACAACCGGAGCCGACCACAGTACTGCACAGCAACCTGTAAGCCCACAGTCTCATCACACAGGGCCAGAAGCGGGATCAGAGCCTATGGAGCCGCCACCGGATTATGAAGAGGTGCAGCAGCAGAGTGTGGCGGAAGCGCTCGAGGAGAGACTGCGTCGAGCCAGTTAAAGCCAGGACGGGTGCCGTATTCCATGCTTTCTTCCATGACTAGATAGTCTCCAATTTCCTTCACACTTATTCCCGCGGTAGCCTCAAGCCCAAGCGGCCTCTTAATCTATTTTTTCCTGTATACTACTTGGAATATTATTGTTGAATTACAGTGCACAACAAATAGTAGACCCCATAGTTAAAGTAACAATAACAACAACAACGGAACGGCACGAACACTAACTAATTAATTAATTTGATAAGTAAGAAAACGAAATATTACCGCATTAGTCACGGCCGACCCGAGCGGCCAATCACGTGTACGATAATTGCGACCATCGCCCGGCGGCCGGGGTGTTCCGATTTTCCAGGGCCGGCAGAAACCAGCAACGCCAAAGCTTCGAGTTCGTTAAAACCAACCCCATCCTCAATTACCGCGACATCCACCGCCCACACGCCCCCCCTTCTCGCCCTCTTCCCTCAATTGAAACCAATTTCAAAGACAAGATGGGTCTCTCCGACTTCTTCTCCGACGTTATGTCCTCCTTCGGCTTCCCCGAGGCTCAGGCTGAGGCTCCCGCCGAGGAGACCACCACCACCACCTCCAGCCAGGAGACCGAGGCTGAGGAGAAGCCCGCCGTGAACAACGAGGAGGAGGCCGCCCCTGCCGCCGAGGAGAGCACCGAGGAGTCTGCTGAGGAGACCCCTGCTGAGGAGGAGTCCGCCGAGGAGGAGCCCGCTGAGGAGGAGGAGGAAGAGGAGGAAGAGGAAGAGGAGGAGGAAGAGGAGGAGCCTGAGGACATCAAGCCCCAGCTTGAGGAGGGTAAGTTTACTGCCACTTTCATATTTTCACTCATTCAGTGCATTTTCCTGGGGGGAAAGCTCGTTTCCAGACGGACAATATGACAACAGGACGGGTAGTCGGTCAGATGGATGCACGCTGACCGACCCTCACGTCATGCGATTCTGAGCCATTGACTCGGAACAACTCATCCCTTTGCAAACAATCTCATCAATTCGAACATTCACTAATCAATTGCTTCTCTCAGAGTGCGCCAACTCTTCCCAGTGCGCCCCCTACAAGCACCACTTCGATGAGTGCGTCGAGCGCGTAACCCAGCAGCAGGAGGACCCCGACTACAAGGGCCCCAAGGAGGACTGCGTTGAGGAGTGTAAGTTGACCAGCACACCATAGCACAACAATCCCTTCGACACCATATTCCAGTCATGACGAACCAACAACAATACCCAAAAACTGACCCACCATTTTTCTTAGTCTTCCACCTCACGCACTGCGCTACCCAGTGCGCCGCCCCCAAGCTCTGGAAGGCCCTCAAATAAGCGAATCAAATCACTCCCGATCGATCGATAGATAGCTAAAGACGTCTTTTTTCTTATCTTCTTTATCCCACTCCGCGGGCTACGTTTCTTTCTAATGCACGACCAAACTTGATAAGACAGGATCCGCGACGAAGGAAGACAAAGAGATAAAGGCATATTACGATCGATCCCCCTTGATTTGATTCACAATATGATGGCTATGCAGGCCTGCCGTTGATGAAGATCAAAAAAGAAAAAAGAAAGGAGCATACATACATCCAGTGTTGTCTCTCGACCGCTACCCGCTGCCCTCGACAAATACGGTACGGGTTGCGAGTCGGTGATGATGATGATACATGCATGTTTGTTACTTTCCTTCTCCTATGAAAGATGGATGGGCTATGGAATATGGAAATGGTTCTAAGAAGGGGGGCGGTCGCCTTCAACTGTGTATGTACAGATAGCTGGTCTCTGCCTTGTTTGAAACTTGTGCTTTTATTATTTATTTCATTTTTTTCCTTTTGTTTACTAGATGAATGTCATTTTGTCCTAGACTATGTTCAGTATTCCTCTTTTATCTTTCTTTTGTTTTGCTTCGTGAGAATCATATGATCTTTACTTGGTTTATTTACAGTCACAGGTCCTGGTATTGACACATTTGATGGACGCCGGGTATCACACGTGCAGTCATGGCTCACATACATTCTGTACAACACTGACTTCAGAGAATACCAGTTCACTTCCTCCACGCCACACTCAACCCCAAGAATCCTTTCTTGGTATCATCCTCCCCAGCTCCAGCTCTACGCTCCGCATCATCACCCTGCACCTCATCACCAGCCTCCTCCTGGCCCAGCTCCACGCCTCGATCCACATCCAATCTCCGTCTCCTCACATCACGACCAAAACATCCAATACAAAGCGGCCACGGCGCAGCCACGACCGCCACGACAGCAGAGAAAATCAACGCATTTCGCATATTGACCGGCGGGGAAGCGTCCTCTCCGGCCTTCAATGCATCCTGAACTAGAATAAATATCGCGCCCAATAACTGCCCACCCGTCCAGCAGATCGTGCTTCCGATTTCCGGGGAGAACGGGTACGTGATTTCGACCAGGTACTCCAGAACGACGGGGAGGAGGGCGAAGGACGACGCGCCGAGGAGGGAGCACACGACATACGATGGTGCGATGCCGGCGGGGCTGGGCGGGGCGAAGATCAGGGCGATATAGGTGATTGCTACGATGGGGACAAGTGTGCGGATGGTGGCGAGGTAGTGCTTGTAGCGGTCTGTGAGGGGGGAGATGATGGCTGAGGCGATGAGTCCAACGATGATCAGAAGGCCTCCTGCAATGCCGGCTTCGGTTTCGGTGTATGAGTAGGGTTCGAGGATTTGGTTGAGGAGCGAGGAGACGCTGTTGAAGAAGCCGACGTATATGGAGAAGGGGATCAGGATGAGGTAGAACTCGAGGGTTTTGAGGAGTTGCGTTATAGCTGGGAGGAGTGGTGTGGAGGCGTTGGTGCTCGCAGATGAAGCGCTTGGAGGCGTCGGGGGTTGGGAGGGGATGAAAAATGAGGGAAGTGCTGCTACCGTTGCCTTTTGGGTTTGTTAGTAGGTGAGTGCGACATGTCGTGGCTGGCTGGGTTTGGTTCTATCTATGTGTGGAGGGATTCTGAGGGAGGCTTACGATGATAGAGATGTACAGAACCATGTTCGGGACTTCGCTTGGTTTGGTCGCCCAGAAAGAGTCGATCAGCTCTCCCAATGCTGCACCCAATGGATTGGCAAGGGTGGCTACGGCCGTTGCACTGGTCCGGCCCTGGTCAGAAAACCAGAGGTCGCTGTATCGCGTTGGAGCGCTCAGACAGAATGGCTGCGCCAGTCCGATAAGGATCTGTCCAAACATGGCGACACCGAAGATGCCTCCTCTCGCTTTGGTCCCTGCATATCGAATCCAATTGCCGACGAGGAGGAGGGTTGAAGTGGTGATGATGGCGGGTTTAGGGCCACCTTTATTGAGAGTGAAGATCACGACGCTGGGAGTAAGAATGAATGTGAGTATCAGTCGCTCCCAGGCGCCGAACACAGGTGGAGATAAGCATCCAGGGCTAAACTCACGGGCTGGCGACACAAAAAGCGAAGAGGTAACCAGTGCTCATCCAATTGATAGCGCTCTCAGAAACGCGGAAATGCTCAGCCGCAGTAGTTGATATTGAGGAAAAGGTTAACCACTAGACGACGATAATAATGAATAATATTAGAATTGGTGTCTCATTCTTCGTGGCGACAGACATAGAGAACCTACATCCCAACTAACGACAATGTTCAACAGCACCAGCTGCGCCAGTCCCCAGAATCGCCGCTTGTAGACCTTGTAAACAGGGCCCGACGGAGGCAGCTCAGCTGGGGCAGTCGTGGCAGAGCCATGGTGCAAACCTGCCGAATCCTGGGGTGCTCTGGAGTCCATGAGAAGACAACAACAACTTAACAGCTAGTTAGCTGGTGGGTTGCGTGACCAGCTGGTGAGGAGCGGAGCATTAAATGAGGGGGAACAGGGCAACTAAATTAATCAATTTCACCGCAACCAACTGAACGGATGGGCGCCGTGGCATTAATATTATCCTAGCCTCGCTCCTAAGACACGATGGCGTCCATAGATTTAAGACGGTTTATAAAGCGGACTGATGGTTGGGTTGCACTGCTGCTACTTCAAATTTGGGAAAGGAGGTTCGAATAGTCTTGTCTCATGACGGCCGGTTTCATCGTTGTTCTTGGGTCTCGACGATCCGACCTCGGCTGATTCCCCCAACTTTGGTCAGGGAGGAAGAAGGGGGGAGATGCTATTGGTGGCAGTCGATGTGAATGCTCTGTCGGGAAGCTCTATCCGTCGTATTTTCTGCTCTCTCATTTGTCAACTGGGAGGTGAATCTGCCTTGATTAGAACGTCCCACAGCAATCACAGTCTTCGCGACCATGCAGTGGGGAATGTTCGCATCCGCGTCGGATATCAGATCGACGACGTCCCAGAATTGAGAAAGAAATAGGGTACAACAACAAGCTATATCTTGCGTTTAAAACTGGTCCAATCTCCACTGATGGGCCATGATCATCCATTACCAAGGTAGTGGATAGTTTGGATATCCGACCGCATATTGCTGCTAAATGCTAAGGTTTCCAGGTGGTTCGTAGGATTGAACCTTGGAGTGGAGCAGCCCCGTTTTACTGTTTCACTCTATTTCCCGGGTTGGCGCTCGGATCTAATCAATAATCATAATCATTTAATCTCATCGCTCACGCACGTTCCACAACCAGTACAGCTATTTCTTCCATGATATATCAAGACAACGATTCATTATGGATGCTTATTTCTGAAGAAAAATAAACGTGAGGAAGTCGAGGTGAGTTGAGGTGAGAGAAAACTAGGGAAGTTGAGTTCCCTTTTTGCACCGTTCACTTCAACTTCATCACATTTCTTTTTCGGAAAATTTTCCAAAATATCAATGGCACCACGTGCAGTTGATTTCTGTCGGTCAGTCAGTCGGCCGACTCTCACTATTTACTAATGCTCGTGTAAATGCTATACACAAGGCCATGCCTTCTTCATTGTGCTGTGCACTTTCCTCCCGGACTGTGCAGTCTAGGGAAGGTGCCATGGACCCTCACTCCTTTACGGCGCTGTCGTCCTTGTGGCATGCTCTCTAGTCCACCCTCATCTTCCTATCAATGCGAACGTGGCCTACAGCACGACCTGCCTACATGGTATCATGGATACACAGTCTCAGAACCCCCCAGTCGCTCAGCATGGCTCGTCCGACGAGGATGAAGTCTC